ACTTTATTCTTGGAATACCAGTAGTTCTACCTTTGCACAGCTATACCTCCTAATTTACAGATTACGTGCTCCCCTTCCCCGAAAGATTTGCTGGCATCACTGTAAGAGTTAGTTACTACAGTTAAATACTGATACTAAGAATTTGGATACCATGTAAATGCTATTTATATTTATAGGTTCTAATACTGAAGATCCTGATTTTTATTCACTTCAGTATACACATTTGGAATTTGCAGCACGGATCTCTGGACACGGGAAAAAGCTGATAGGAAAAAACTACTATGGATCAAAAATTATTTTTCTGTGTAAAAATAAAGCAAAATTGAGCATTTTCAAAATTTGAAGAATTTCAAAATTCTAGTTAACATGGTTTGATAAAACCCTGGGTTTACACAAGCTGATACCTTTGCAGATAAGAAAAAAAAAAGTGGTGGCATGTTTTCTTTTTAATTTTAAATAATTAAATTATTATTTAAATAATTTTAAATTTTAATTAGCCCTTTTCAAAGTGCACTACACAACTCTCCAGGATATCGTGCTGACATAATGCTTTTTTGCTTGCTGAAGTCATTTGGTAAGAAGTAATCCAATTACAGACAAAGCATGCTTTGACCAAGCAACTATATAAACAAGACGCTTCTATATTTACAGAAGATCCTGAAAAGATTTACACAAATGTATAGATTTACATTTTTATTATGGTTCTATATTTTTATAAGCTACAACATTAAGCAGGATCAACTTCATCAATTAGTGCTTCATTCTAATTTTAATAATTCAAGTACTGATATATTGCTTTTTTAATTTTGCCTAAAATAGAAAAAAATTCAATTTCCTAGCAATCTTCCATTCAAATAAACCCACATCCTGCCTTTACAGCCCTCTCATGTTCCCTGAGGAAATTTGTATTAACTGTCTTTTATTTCCCTGCCTTCCCATGGCAATTTTCTACAAACATTTTGGTAATTTCTGTTTATCTGGACATTAAACATCATATAGTAATTGCTGCAGGGTATCACATACAAAGATAAGGACTTCAAAATCAAACCTGAATTTTTTAAGAGAATTGGCAAACAGTAAATACTAATATTCAAACATTTTTTAATGTTCAAGTCCATCTTTAGCATTGAATTACATAAAGAATTTGGATTTAATTTTGAAACACCACCAAGTGTGCCCAAGTAGCAGGAAAGCTGAAACAGTATTTCTATTGCTAAATTTATTTCCCTCAAGGATATATAGAGACCTCACATTCAGATCTGAACATGTAAGGAGAATCATTCCTGGTGTTAACACATGTTAAAAAAACCAACAGAACACCAGCTTGTCACTTAATTTATCTATTCCCTTCCATTTCATCAGATGAATGAATTGTACCTGTGAGTATGAGCAAGCATCAGAGCAACCTGTATTTTCTTCTGCCTGGTGCCATCAGAAACAGGCTGATTTCTGTTCTCAGGGTCTTTCTGGATTGCTATTACAGATGGTCTGTGTGAAGCACAAAGATCATGATGACTGCTTTTTGTAATGACGAATAAACTCAAAAAGTTGCAAGTGGAAGTCGCACACTCCTTAAATCCCACATTTGACAGAAGTGAGAGCATGGTCGATGCAAAACCACTGTAGTGCAAGATGGAGAAGGCAGTTCAAGTGGCACTACCAACAACAGGTGTACATTGGCTGCTTTGCAAGCTTGAAGCTTTTCAAGCTCCACAGGGATGCAGACAAGGGCTGCTCATGTCTAGCAGATATAGAACATATTTAAACCCTCAGCTTGCTTAATCTTTATGTATGACTTACTTTCTAGCTATTTTCTAAATGTGCCATAAAACTCTGCTGAACTTATACTAGAACAAAATCTACACTATGATGCTTTACAACTGCCCAGTTATCTACCAGAAAAATCCCGACAAATGCAGGTTAAATCCCATACTCCACACTGGTTTCAGTTCCAGCGCTACCTACCATCTTTCAGGAAGATTTAATAAAATATAAGATGAAGATGAGACTTGACAAATGTTTTCATATCAAAGTGTTTCTAAAAAAAGGTGCAGCACAACTTTCTCCAGCAGGTGCCTATAGTTTGACCCAACAGAAAGAAGCCTCACTGGCAACCACCTATGTCTCTGCACATGGCTAGCAAACTTCTAACTTCATGTCCTGTTTCTGACATGGTGTTCTAACATATTTACAGGCAGAGGAAGAAATAAATCACTTTGTATTGCCACATTCACAGCGATTGTCCTGGATTCTCAGTAGGGCTGCTTTAGCTGGTCCCAGGCCACAGCAACCAATAGAAAAACATCCTGACTCACTGGGTCAGAACGATAAAGTCAGGGACAAGAACATCTGGGACATTGCATGGAGCTGGAATCTGTTCCAACATGCAGGTTCTGCAACAGCTTTTGGCTAAAGCTTTACCTCCTGTTGTGTTGCCTATCTAGTCATTATCGTGAAAAAAAAGGGAGAAGGAATGAAGACAGTGATGTCGGCAAAAGTGAACAGCTGCAAGGAACTTGTAGATAATTAGATAGATAACGTTGATAGAAGGCTAAGGATTTGGAAAAAGTAATTGGGCATATAGGCATTCTGCTCAGCTTATTAGCACAAGCATGGCTAACATGCCAACAGGTACATGCTAGCTGATGACTGGTATTGGTTAAAAGTAAGTGTAAACTTGCAGATTGGAACAGAAGAGTTTTTACTCACTTTTGCATCTTGTATATCCTGTTACATTTGTGCAAGGCACTAGAGAATCAGGCACGTTGTTCTGTGTGGAAACCATTTTATGACCAAGATGATCTGAGTTTTAAAGTCCAACAGTTTCATATAGGAGCAGTTGGAGCACAGTCCCATATTAAAATTGCTATTAAAATTTTCCACTTCTAAAATGATATTTTCCAGATCTTTCAGGGGATGGGGGAATGGGGAAGTGGGAAATAGCTTTGTTCTAATGACGAAACTGCTAAAGAAAAATATTCGGGATTAATACAGTTGATCTCCACTCTGATACTGATGTTGGCAATTTCTGTTACCAGTATCAAGTGGTTAAATAGATAATAACAGTAATAATAAAGCAGATCCTTACATTTTTATATCAAGTTCTGGCTCTCAACATACATGAACCTGCATCCAAATCCCTGCAGCACACAGAGACTGTGCGATGTGCTCAGGCCGTTCCTTCTGACTTCCCTGGGGAGGTCAGAGACAATGACCTACCTCCCACAGAGAAACAGAAAACAGGGGAATTGGCATGTACTGATGACAATAAATGACCACAGCATTCAGGCTAGCTCTTCCTTGGGAAAACAAAGAAATCAAACTGTTTTGGAGAGGTCAGTGCAGACGTGTGAGATAAATCAGGTGTCAGGAGGACAGCAATGCAGCTCAAAGCAACGCAGAAGCAAGAGACTGAAAAATGGAAGAGGTTACTCCAGATTATGCTCAGTACTGCTAGCAGAGGAAAGGCTTTGCTGACATTTCTGTCCTTGCTGGGTGTGTTAGGATCGCGAAGGGATTCTGGTGGGCACTGAAATGCTCATGTGACAGGAAGTGATCGGAGCTCAAAACACAAAGCCACTGGTGCAGGCCCAGACAACCGTGCTGTCCTGCTATCATGGCCTTGGGTGAGACGTGGTAACTCCAGAAGTGCCTACTTATGAATCAAAAATGCCACAGCCATAAGATCCAAAACTGATTTAATATAAACTGCTGATTAAAGATTGTGTAAAAATACTGGTAACTTAGTTTTGTCCTGGCAGGATTTATCAAGTACCTTTCTGTCCTCTGCCTTGTTGACACCAACTTTCTCTCCTGTTTTGATGGTTTGTGGTTTTTGTCCCTTACATAATCCATATCCAATTTGTACCAGAGGGCAATCTGGTCTGGCGACAAAACCATTCTTCTGTGCAGAAATTCATAAAGAATAATCTTATTACAACAATTCATAAAGTGCCCTTGGGAAAGGTGCTCACAATGCCACGACATTATAGAAATAATATACAATCTGATACATTATTTTCAAAAAAATCCTCCAAAGCAAAAAGGAGGGGAACAACAAATATATAGGCAAATACTGTTAGTCTGACAACAGTCAAATTAATCATGGAACACTTTATAGTCTTGGAGTGTTTGTAAAAATGGGAGGGGGGGCAAATTGGCAGGAGTATCTTGGAAAAGTCCCAAATTTTTTAAGTTCTATCAAAGGAAGAACACCACCAGAAAGCCCAGCGTTTGAATATGAAATGTCTATGAATTACTATGAGGTATTTTACTATGGAAATTGAAAAAATACAACATTTAAAGAAAACCCATGACCCACATTTTACTAAGAGGAAAGAAGATAATACAGTGGTTATGTATATCCGCTGACCCTTAGTGTCTTGGTTTTTTCTATTTGTAAAGAAAACAATCTTTCTCCTCCCTGTTGATTCCAGATTTTATATACACATATAAAACTATATAATATATAGTTTTACATATATGTATACACACACATACAAAAATACTCATACACATATAGATGTGTATATATTTTAGGGTCTTACTAGCTTTCAGAGTCTATTTTTCTTTTTTTTTTAATGACTTAGAGAACACAATTGGGCAAAAAATCAAGTAATTGCATGCATGCAAGCATATCTTGCCACTTGTGCATGTAAATTACACAATTTGTAAATAACTGCAGAAATAGCATACTCAAATTAGGCACCTGATTGCCCAATTAACTTCTTCACAGAAAATCAGATGATAACCTTCAGTATCTCCTATTATAGATTTTTCTTTTCCATGCTACCTTACTGAATCCACAGTGTATATTCCAAACAACTGCATTGTTATTCTGTGCTTTAACACAGGCACAAGCAGCACTGCACACTTAATAAAGCTATCAATTTTTGGACCAGATTTCAGAAAGTTGTTCAGATATTTAAAAGTTCCCTTATTTCACTGAGAACAAGCCAGCTTAGACAATTAAAAAAAAAAAAAAAGAAGAAAAATATTTAGTCTAATTTTAATTGGTTCGAATATTACAAAAGAAAAAAATAATCCAGGCATTTGCAGCCCTTCATGCTGCAATTAATAGGCAAAGTTTTGCATCTGTGTCTTTGATTTTTTTAAGGTGTCTTGTTTTCTTTTACAGGCAAGTATTATTTAACCATATACATTCAATTCCTAGTAAATCCTTACTTTATTTTTGCTCTGAAATAATCATTAATTAACAGTAATTTGATACAAGTTGAGACAGAACACCAGCTTGTCGCACTCTGGTGTATACTTCCTAATGGATAGAGAAACTAAATGACCCAAATCTATCGAAATACTGCAAGCAGAGAAACTTTTTCATTTGTATAACAAAATGATTTAAGAAATTGATTTTTACCATAAATAATGTTGCTCCTTTGCTGTTGTATGTCTTTTTCTGAGATGATGTTCTGGAAAGGGGGTATTTTCTTTACCAATTTTTTGCGTCAAAGAAATCTTAGTAGCTTTAAAAGGAAAAAAAAAAGCTGAGCAAACCATTATCTAAAAAAACGTCTCTCAAATAAGAGAAAAGGAAACAAAAGCAGAACTGCTGGGCTGGATCATGTCCCTGAATAGATATTACAAATAATCATAGTGGCTGCAAGTACCAGTTCTTCATAGGCCTCCTGCAGTAACAGCCATGCTGGTCCTACTGTTCATACTCTCTCAGAATGGGGAGAGTGGTAAGAAAAGCTACTGGACTGCCAATATATTCTTATGGGTTTCAATCAAGCATCACTGGCTTTCTTCCCTCAACTTCTTGTGACAATATCTGCTGGTGACTTTACACTGCTGCTTTTCTTCCTCTAGAGGGTCAAAATCCAATTTGGTACTTAAATTACTTTGTTCCACTCCACTGGTCTGTGACTGGTTTAAAAATCTTCCAGGAGCACGGCTTGTCCTTCTTGCAAATTCAGATTTTGCCTTTCCCCTATAAACAAACAAACAAAACAAACAAACAAAAATCCCAACTCCTCCCCACACCCCCTTTTCAAAAATATAATAATGATCATTCGTATCATGAGAATTATTTAGCAGTATCCAGTCTCAGTACAGCTTTTGTTGAGAAAACTGTAGCTTATACGACTCTGAAGTGTTTATTAGAAAGTTTTCAAAAAGATATCTTCGTTTCAGGAAAAGAAAACTTGATCAGTTTAGCAGATACAGATGTTCACAGCGCAGAGACTGAAATGGTTAAAAATGATCCTAAGGAGCAAGTAGCTCACGGAGTTAGCAAAATAATTAACTTTTTCCTTTCTTTTACAGAAAAACACTAATAGCTGCGCTGGTTTTCATGCTTACTAAGACAGAATTTTGTTGTGTGTTCTTGGTTTTGCTTTTTTTTTTTTGCGCTATTGCTCCACACAGGTTTTAATTAGTGCTTCTCCTTGGCTACAAGTGCTTCACTTTGAAATACAAAGCTCTTTAAAAAAAACAACCAAAAAGATCCCAAAAACCCAAAACCCCCAACACCACATCACTGGAGGGGAAAATGGGAAGTGATACAGTGCAGCTGCAGCAATCTGGTTCTGCTGTTGTCCTCCCCCATCCCCAAATCCTCTGCATAATTTCAATCGTTAGTCGATGAACCTTTGGCAGGCCTTCTTCCATCGGCAGGCAGTACACCACATATCTCTGTTCTCCATCCCATAGACCTTCCGACACTTTTTCCCCTCCCCTCTAGGCTTCCTGTCAGAGAGAAAGGGAAGCTCGTTAAGGAGATGCTTTAGTAGCGCTTTTCACCCTAAAATCAGGACAATCTCAATGGAGTGCAGCAGGCAGAGAGCCCTGGGTGTTTCAAGGGATTCAGCTGGGAGCTAATGAAGCAGACAGACAGACATGGCCATGACTCCACAGCTCTGAGGGACCAGGCCTTCTCCTCGCCTGGCTTCCACAGCCTGTGCAGCAGCTGCTGAGCCTGCTCCTCTGCTCCTGGGATGATCCCTAACTTTAGCCAGCAACTAAACCTGGACTAATAAATTGTAGTTTAGCCACATGAAATGCCTTGTTGGACAGTCATAGCTGTTCCACAGTACAGGCCAGGTAACGTCAGGCAGAAGTGCTGCAGAGCTGTGGTAAAAATACTTGGCATAGCTTGTAGCATCAGATCTTGACCACCAGTAGGTAGCAGCTGTGCCAAATGGGAGAAAAGCTACCAGCTCCTGAGCTTGCCAGTCCTTCCTGCACAGTTTGCTCTCAGCTCACTGACTGAAAAACAACAAAGTGAGTGTAAAGTTTTAACCCTTACCCTCATCTGCAGCATGTTTGCATGTGCTCCTTCTCTGTTGTCCCCAAAGCCAGCAAGGCGGGCAGCACCTGCTTTTAAAGCTATAACAATTGTCCTGCTTTCCATCTTACGACCACATTCAAAAGTTCTCAAGTTTAGAAAATGATCCAACTAACTGTTAAAATGGAACTTTTTTTATTCAACACACAGCAAGCCAGCAAACCTGAGGAGCAATGCTTCACCAAGCAACCCAACATTCACCACAGCAGTGCCAGCTGTCATGGCATCTTTAAATGAAATAACTGTACTGACAGAATTGTTTAATACAGGTATTACATGTTGCATGGCACATGTGGGAATTGCCTGGTGATTCCTCTCTTGCATGCCTACACATTTTCTGATTACTGAACATTAATTAATGGGCACAACCCATGAATTGGGGAAGAGTCTGAGTTTGGTTTGTAGCATGTGCAACAATCTGAGAGTCCTGAAGAAAATCAAAAGCATGAAATCTTTTTTTGTCTCATTTTAGGGTACAGTCACCTTTAGGACTGGGAAAAATAAGGAGTTTCTTTACCAGAAGACATTTAGCATCACAGTTTGATTTTTTAACGTAATTTTTGAACACTTTTAAAGTAGATTCTGGTCAAACATCAGTTAACTTTAATGGAAGTGAATGTAGCTTATGTCTAGGAAAACAAGGCATAAAAAGCTTTGCCTTGATCTAATCTATTGTGAGATATGTTTTTTTATAATTCAATTGAAGTCAAATACCATTCTGACTGAATGGTGGCGAACACGTAAAATGGCCCAGCCTTTCAGGGAAAAAAGCAAAGCCACCCCATGCAGTTCAGGATGCTTCAGCTGGGGCAGTGGATCTGGGCAGCACTGCTTTACAGGATAAATTTAGGACTGCATGTGAACTCCAGACGTGCCTGGTGTAAGGCATGCAGTTTTGCTTCAGTCTGCCTTTTTAATTTTGCAGTAACTCACTCTTCCCCTGAACTCTGATGGTAACGAAAAGCAAAATAGGTTCTGAACGCTTACTCTGAAGCATCCTAGTAAGAAACTGCCTGACAACTGCAGTTGGGGTTGATGGTGTGCCTTCCCTGTTTCTCTGGCCACTGACATCTTATTTACTGAATGCCCTCCAGGTTCTGAGGCTGCTGATGTGCCAGCAGGAGCTAGTGGTCCCGTACCTCAAGCCAAATGCTACTCTAGGCGGTGACGAAAGAACTGTGTGGGACTGTTTCTGCTCTCCACTCCCTGCAGGACGATTATGGGGTGGTGAAACCTGCCAATACAGACAAAAAGGCTGCTTATGAAGAACATACACATATGAATGCAGTTTAAACACTTTTTCCCAGAAAATGCACATTATGATTCATTGTGGCAAGTATACCCAGGAAAGGTGATTATATAACATACAAACATAAGTAAGCTATAGGTTTATTTAGAAAGATGTCTATTTAGCATTAGGTACATTGCATCGGCTCCACTTTGTTTCCCTTTACTTTCAGTCCTCCTCATAGAGCAAACCAGAATACAGATCAGCATCACTTTTTGTATTTGGGAAATACAAAATATGCATTAATTTTCAAGATTTCTGAATAGCTCTTAGGAAAACTTTCTCCAATTTAAGCAGAGAAAATAACTGGAAAAATACATTCTGTCCTGTGTTGAGTTCAATACCAATAACTTGCTGTGAAATAAAGGGATTCCCACTTGTTGCTTCCATCTCCCTTGGAGAAGGGGCTTTGCTGCAGGGCAGTTACAATGTGTCCCCTTGAAGTTTAATGGGAGTGCAACGGAGCCCTTCTGATCAAGGCTGCTTACAAGAGGTACTGGATTATCTCCTTGTTCTGCACAGTAACCTTTTCATCAGGCATCCTCTTTGTGAACGTTCATGAGGGGAGGGTATAGTTTGGTCTTCGGACAATTTCCAAAGAAGTTTCCTACATGAGCTTGGGGGTTGGCAACATTATTTGAGTAATCACATGGCATAATGCTTAGCCTTAAATAATTCCTAAATTATTTACCACTACAGTTTTATTTTACTCCTGGGTAAAGACCACAAAAACTTTACATCTAAAACACTTCAATAAAATTATGCACACTCATTTTTAGTTGTATATTGAACATAGAAAGGTTCATTTGGGTATCTGGTGCACGGACTGAGCCTCCTGCAGCCCGGAACTGCAGATCCGGTCATAGCTCTCTGCACTGTTACAGGTTTTCACTCCTGCCTTTTTGAAGTCTTACAAGATTTGGAAGAATGGAAACTGACTGACCTGACTCGAAGAGAATTACTGTATGTGCTTTGATTTTTGATACAAAGTCTATTTTATATCTACTACACAGTAGCAAAAAACTAACTAATGCTTGTAATGGAGTACAGTCACTCTTTCAAATTTTACTCTCGGCTGGTAACTATAGAAACTTCTGATTTAACTGCATGTGTGGCTCACACTCTAAACAAGTTTAGACCATTACTGATATATGAAATATACCTGGAAAGCTTGAAAGAAATTTCCTCTCTCTCTACCTGCTTACCATAAGTCACGTTCTAAACATCCAGAGACCACACTAGCTCCTTCTATCACTCCAGAATACTAAGGGCAGCTTGTTGTCTACTACTTCTTTTTCCAATCTTTTATCAAATGCTACCCTTGTTTACCTAAGAATGATTGAAACACTGAAGATAAAATTCAAAGTAGTAGCATTTTTCTAGTATTTGGCATTTACCACACACTGCACAGTTCTCCAGTCGTTACCAACAACCAGAGATCTCCAGTCATTCTGCTGGGGTTCTGAAACATTTTAGAAACCTGAAACTATTTTGTGTCTACCACTACTAACTGACACTCAACATATTAGCCGGTTTTCATTGCACAGAAGAGTACTTGGATGGCCTCCCATGTTATAAGCAGTTACATTGATTACTTCCAAACACAGAACAGGCTTGAGCAGTAATTGCAGCGTGCAGACTGCCTCTCCCCTCATCCTCTATAGAGAGGCTGTCTGCACAATGGTTTCCATGGGCTGGCACACCAAGGCAGCCAGATTGCACTGAAGATGAGTTTCGTGTATCTTGACTGGCTTTGCAGCAGGTCTAAACAATACCAGTCAGCTGTTCTCCTCTGCAGGGGACACTAGGAGCAGATTAAGAGGAAGCCCTGAGAATGCAGTCCTTGCCCTTGGAGGCTTTTCTCCTCTGAAGTGCTGTTTAACACAGAGTGAAATGACAGTGTTTGTCTGAAGCAAGGACCTGGAGTTTCCAGTTACAACTCCTGGTGGGAAACTGTGGTTACAGAGAAGATTTGTGATCTGTAAACATGAGGTTATCAAACTCAAAGATCTCGCTTGTTCAACTTTTTTGGGTTATGAGCAGGCAGGTAAAAGCCAGTATCACACAGTGGAGATCACACTGGCATTCAGAAAGACTTCTATCCTACATCACATAGAAGTGGAACTATTCGGTCATTATGTTAGGCCCTCCACTACCAACAGATACAGACTCCACCATGGCTCATTCCACTTGCATAATTTAATTCACCCTCCTTGTACATCCTCAGGCTGTGCCTAATTTTTTCTCCTAGTTCAGTCTCAAGTGGTAGAGCAAGCATCATCCTGTTTATTCCGCTTCATGCAGAGAACAGCACCTAGCAGTGACTCATAACTGTGCCAACACTCAACCTTGCACCTGCAAAGTTATCTTAGGAAAATGGTAAGAAAAAGTGTATTTCCCATGTGCTCTGGGAATCTACCTTATGCATGACTGAGAGCACAAAGCATTTTGGAGGTCCCCCTAATTACAGAATCACAGAATTACAGAATCTCCTGAGTTGGAAGGGACCCACAAGTATCATGGAAGTCCAGCTCCTGGCCCTGCACAGGACCATCTCCAAGAATCACACCATGAGCCTGAGAGCATTGTCCAAACGCTTCTTGAACTCAGACAGACTTGGTGCTGTGAACACTTCCCTGGGGAGCCTTTTCCAGTGATCAACCACCCTCTGGGTGAAAAACCTTTCTATGATATCCAACCTAAACCTCCCGTGACTCAGCTTCATGCCGTTCCCTTGGATCCTGTCACTGGTCATAGAGAAGAGATCAGTACCTGCCCCTCTGCTTCCCCTCATGAGGCAGTTGTAGACTGCAATGAGGTCTCCCCTCAGTCTCCTCTTCTCCAGGCTGAACAGACCAAGTGACATCAGCTGCTCCTCCTCCCTTATGACTACAAGACTTCTAAATAAATGCCTGTGTTTAGATGCTGTGAATAACCCCAAGCCTGAATCAGCCACATACTGAACCCTGACTGATCCAGCTGTATGTTTGGCTTGTTTTGAGATGTTCAGGAACCTGCTGATAAGCACATTCACATTGACAAAGGCCTGTCAGTGCTGTTCTGCTAAAGACTGTCCAAAAGCGAGGGCTTAACGCGAGGGCTTAATGCAAGTCATGATGTCTGAACACCCTGGTTCCCAGGAAAGCAAGCAGGGAGTTTTTAGTGTCATTGAAATTCAATGTCCACAGGAATGAATGTGGAAACACTACAGTATGTGTCAAAAAAACCAAAACACAAAAGGAGAATATTTTGAAATTTTGTCTCTCTCGTGGACTTAACTACTGACACATGTCTAGAAGAAGACTGCTAAAAACCAGGATACAAGAGCCTTCTAATGGGTCAAGGGCAGAATGCCCCAATTCCAACACCACTAGTAACATGAAAAAATGTGTAGACCTACGCGCTTTTGCAAATCTGTACCTAATCTTTTCCTGCTCAGTGGTTTGTCCAGACCAAAAAAGTATTCCAAAGCCATTTTAGAAAACTGCTTGAATAAATATTAAGGCTCAGGCAAAAAGCAATGGTTTGGACTTACTCTCTGAAGTTCCCTTGGGTGCTACAGACTTGTGTTTAATCCCAGGAACCATGTATGTACACATGTATGCTGGCTCTGTCACATAGTCTGGGCTTAAATAAACACCATCAGAGAAGGAGGAAGTCCCCTATAATATAGCTTTTCTAAAGTAGCTACACTCAGTGTAAGATTGGGAATTAAAAGTGCCCTGTTTTTATATGGCAATATCTAATTTACTTTGAAACAGGATAAATAAAAATTTCATTTAATATACTGGTATTTATTTAACATCATTTGGCATCTGTACCCTCACTTACTGCACATAATTTTTCACTGCAGGCAAGCTTTCGTAATTCATAAATGATCTCACTGCTGACAGAATAGTCAAATGTGTGCAAACCTAAAAGATTTTTTCTTATTATTATCTTTTTTCTTTGTTAAACAGCCTTATAAATGTTGTTAGAGATATAATGGCAGTTCATATGGTTCCCTGAGCAGTTTATAATTCTGCATCACTGCTTCCCCAGGCTTTTGTATTGGGAGTATTTTCAAATTGTACTTAAATCATTGGCATCTCCATACAATTCTCAGAAAGTGATTTGGCATTTCTTAAATTCTTTTGAGAACTCTCTACTCCATAGCCACTGATCAGCGTTGTTGCCTGAACAAGTAAACTCGACACATACGTGTCTAATCCTGTCCTCTTAAGTGTCTGATTTACAATGTGGCTAATTGCATTTTTAGATTCCTGGCACCAGTTTTTGCTACACCACAAAAGGAGCCAGTTTCATAATTACTCCATATCAACCCCATTGTTGGGAAATCAAATTCTCAGGGAACTTTGCAGATAGCACGCTCTGTCAAGGCACTCTTGTTGAAATTGCTGCCAGCATGATGTCTTTCACTGTTAGTCGTTCCTTGATGGAATTTAATAAATATTCATTGGCAGAGTGCATTGTAATTGATTCAGCCGCTTTCATTTTTTATCAGCTCTGCAGGATGCCACAGCCTCTGCAGAAAGTCTCCAAGATTTGCCAAAGGTTGACAGTAAGAAGCTTTAGAGATTTCACTTGGTGAAGAGAAGGGAGGGAAATAGTATCTCTTATCGCCTTGTCCAATATTCGCTGTCATGAGAAAAAAAGCTGTATGGTTCTTTGGATAAGCAATGTGCCTTATATAACACACTTTAAAAATTCATAAATTCATAAAGTGTAATATTAAATGAGATGTTTTGATATCAAATAGGTTTATGATTAGAGGATATCAATTTATAATAAAAAATATTTCCAATAAAATGAGGATACATTACATTAATATCTATTTATTATAGAGATTTTCCACTATCCATAAATAGTGATTTAATTAGTTTTTTCAGCATTCTCCATGCCAGGCACTATAAGCTGAATCCCTCCAAACTCTTCATAAAGGTTTTTCTCTCTCCCTGCATACCCATACTTACACCACAGTGTGTTTAGGGCCACTGGAAGTCTATGTTTAAGCAAACTCTGCATTTCTGCAGTCCTGTTCATGGAATCAGGTCTTGCACACCAGCTTTTTTGAAGAAAGGCCAGCGTTAAATTTACATCTAATACATCTTCATAAAAAGTTGTCAAACTGCAATATGCATTAGTATCAAAACGCAATAGATATTGGATGCATTTTCTGTAAAAAACAACAATTTTCTGCTATCAGTAGGGTCTACATATTTGAAGCCTCCTAAAGCTGGACTTTGCATTTCATCTTACTTTTTCTTTCAGTTGCCTTTCAAGAGTCCATTTAGGTAACAGCCCTACTGCCTGAATCCAACTGGCCTGTTAGCATAACCATCACCTCACTGATTTTCCATCTGTTTTTTTAAGAAAAGGAGCACACAGTGCCAAGCTCTGCACGTATCGGAATGTTTTGTAAGCATATAGTTAAAATATACTATAGATTCACTTCTTTTTTTGTAGACAGTGATGCAAAAAAAAAAAAGTAAATGTACTGAATTAAAGGGACTGACAAAGGTGTTAAAACCAGCCATGCTGGCAAACTGAGGCACATATTTAATTTGTTTCTTTTTGGTATCTCTCCCATTTACTTCTATCACTACACATTGTGAAACAAAACAAAAAGACCTAAAAACTTTTTCCTCCTTTTTTTTTTTTTTGATGTCCACTTACTGGAATGCCGGTGAAGGTAACTGGAGGCGACTGCCAAGAGATGCTAAAGCTACTGCCATTGGGAGTGAATTTTGCTGACCCTGGAATGTTCACCGGAGGAGTGGCCTGTGTGAAAAGAAAATATTATTCCAGCAAGAAGAGCCATTCTTCTTCCAAAGCATTTCTAAGGATCTTTCACTCCTCAAAATGGTAAATCTATGAGAGACTTTCCAAGGCAGAAAAAAACTGCATGGTGACAAGCATTTTACCCTTATGAGACAGATAATCGTGGGTAAGCCAGTAAGGCAGGGACACAGTTGTATTTACATATCACTATTCCTAAACCTTGTTTAGAGAAAGATGACAGCAAGAAACAAACAATACTACAAATGATCACCTGTTCCATAGTGATGAACAAGGCCATACTTAAACTGATAGCAGCTGGTTTACACAACTGAAGTGTGGATAGTGAGGCTTCTTGGACAAAACCATTGGCCATTTCTGGTTTATGAGATAAATGTTAAGAATCATCCCAATTAAAACAGTCTTTCCTATTAAAAACAAGGAGCTGAAAATCATCCTGGGGATTGAAAAAACAGCTCTTAAATACTAAGCTCAAGCAAATATTTAAGGACTCCTGAGATCCTTGAACTGTTATGTTCTTCCCATCTGGGATGTAATACCCAGTGCTGCCCTGGGGTGCAAAAACACGATAATCTGAGCTCAGACAGTTGTGCACCTTTCATCTTGTGCCTTTCCTTTGGTTTTCTCATGGGCTATGAATCCTCAGGAATTCTTTCCTGCCCCTTTTTGAATCCCATTTAATTTTCAGAACCAGGAAATTCATAGCTGTGAAGCTATTCTGCATAGCAGGAGTGTGAGCAGCCACCATGAACACAGGCTCACTTTGACCCTTGCATTTCAATTTTTCACCACAAAAAAATCCCTCCTTAAAGTTACTAAGAACTTGCTAAAATGAGTTTTCACTTTTGGCTTTCAGTTCCCTGTGCCTGACAATGCTGCAATACACTCATTTAAGTAGTGTTTGTGTTTGAGGCTGCTGAAATTGTCTCACTGCTTCAGGGGAGAGTTCTTTCCTGAGCTGCTGGGCACAAAGGAGTGATGACAAACTACAACCTGATAGTCCCCACTAAAGATAATTTTCAGAGTAAACAAGTGCTGAAGCAATCCCCTGGAGTCTCTCCAAGGAAAAGAAAGTGAGACCACCAGATGCCTCTGTGTACGGCAGTGATGCTCTGTGGGCTGCCGAGCCTGCTGACAGCTCCAAGAGAATCCACACAGACATGCAGAGCAAACATCCGCTGAGCTCCATAAAATATAAAAGCTTTGCTGAAAGGCATCAAGAAAATCTGGCAACTCCCCTGTTAAAACGGGACTCCTGACAGAAAGAACTGGAGTCAGCTGGATGAGCAGTGAGACGGCACTGCTTCTGCTCAGTATCCCACAGGGGTATCAGCTCAAACCTGGGGTCAGCACAACATCTTCCTCAGGTATTTGAATAAGACCTGAAAGGGAAATCCTAGACGCTGAAAGAGCCCACCCGTAGCTAAATTTAATAGGTACAGGCACAAGTTTTACAAAGAAACACAAAGTATGTGAAGTTTAAAATCAATGTAATTTGCAGTTGCCTGAAATACTACAGTGCTCAATTCTTTTTTCTCAGTGCCTAAATATCTACATCAGACATGATCAGACTTAGTCAACCACCTTGTTCAGTTGTTTCCCAGATGTGCATCTTTGTTCATCAAGCACTGTCCCTTTTTTCAGGCTAACATTTTAGACAATCTCTTCCATAAGGCATTCAACCATAACATTACAACGAACTGAACAGTTTCTATAACCCAACCTCACTTTGCTTAGAGGCCACCATTTAATTTCCAATCAAAATATATTCATGGGTAACTTATAGTTATTTGTTTGTACCAACACTGTCCTTATATTTGAAACAGCACATGGTCATCCTCTTCCCCTTTCATACTTGTCCTCTCACTTTCTTCCCAGGCAGCATCCCATCCTCTCCTCACCCCTGCTTTGCCTGAGGTACCAGTCCCTGGGCTGGAGAGCCTGTTCATGTCCTCTCTGCCCTCCTTCTTCAATACTGATGATTTTCTTTCTACCTCTTCTGACTGGAGCCCATCACATTGAATTTGGTTGACCAGAACTCTACTCAGGATCTCAGCTCTAGTTATCTGGGAGTCTTGTATAATGGTCTTAAAATTCCCTGTCTCTCCGAGATATTTCTTATCCAAGAGAGCTGACAACTATTTTTTTTTCCTTCACAGCTCTATTGTTGTTGGCTCACGGTCATTCTGTGCTTGATTAATGAACAGAGGTTTCCTTCTCACATAATTTTCTAACTACCCCAGTTTATAGCAGAAAAATCTCATTAGTTCCCTAGGTGCAGGACTTTGCACGTTCTGACATTAAACTGCACCCAAAACCTATTATTCTCAAGATCACCCAGTCATGTAAGCATGATATATAACTCCCGTACTGCTGATGTCTCCCGAGTTTGTTATCAGCAAACTTTATTATATTATTTGTGTAGTACCAAAATGATTTAATGAAAATGAGGTCAAGGCCAAGAACAGCTTTTCATTCAACTCCACTAACATTCAAAATAACTCACTGCTGTTCTCCGTGACTTTCCAGTTCTCTTTCCTACACTAAATTTAATCTCTAGTTTAACAAATACTGCTTATATGTTTTAAGATCAAATGCACTCCTTGAATCCAGAGGGATCTGCTCTTCTGTACTGCTTCCTAGACTGTTCTGATATCATCTTTCTCTGGGATTCTTCCATTGCAGTTAACCTCAACTGCAGTACTTTCCACAATTTCTTCAATTATTTTTCTAAATTTTTCCTCACCCATAAGACTGGGTCAGAGAAGAGTGTCAGGACTTGCGTGCTTACTTCCTGTTTATACCTTTCTTACTACAAGTAGTCTATTTGACACTTTCCAATCAAAAAGGAAACAGTAATTAACAGATACTAACTGTTTAGGATTCCTGCGACCCAGCTTTGGGCTCCATATTTTTTTTTCCTTTTTTAACAGGAATCCTGGGATGAACAGTATTCAGCCTCCCTTATTGAAGTTCCTTGAGCTGTGAATTTTGCCTCCACTCCCAATGAAGTAATTTCTCAAACCATTACATTTTTGGAGGTTCCACCGAGATAAAGAGATAAGAGCCATGATGCTTGTGATAACAGAAAGAGTTTCCAGACAAGACACAGGCTGTACTATTGTAGAGAAATTAAAGCTATAGTGATGTAAGTACTCAGAGTAGAATTAATTTGTAATAATGCTATATTGATGTGTAGTAGAGAGATTTTGATTATATTTTAGTTTGCTGATGATTTTATGTTGATTAGAGTTTTTCAAATTGTTATGATATGTTTACATTTCGCAGAGTGAGGGGGTGGAGTGTTGTGTCATGGGGGAAAACCAGTTTTCCCCCTAGAGCTATAAATGGTAACCCCCCAGGGGGTGGTTACCCTTGGGGTTGAGCCAATGAGCGCTTCTGCAAAATATAAACATATCACCCACACCGGAAAAGAAGGTAGTTGCAGTTGTTGTTGGAGAAGAGGTGGCCATGTTCTAAGCCACAAGCTGAGGGGCCCGGGGCCCCACTGGGGGCTGGGCTCCCCCCAGCCCCTGGCTGGGGGGCTACAGGGACTTGGAACAGTGTGAAACTGGGCTAAGTATCTGTAGCTGAGAAGCTGGGAGGTTTTTTTCCCTCCACCATGGACAGCAGGAGCAGCGGCGGCAGAAGCAGCAGCGTACGGAGGGCAGAGAGCCAAGAGATAAGAGAGAAGCAGCAAAGCCGGTGTGCAGCCAAGGAAGACACAGAGTTCTCTAATGGAGAGAGAGAGAGCAGGACTAAGCCCTGCAGAGACAGAGTTTGGGGTAAGAACTGAAAACCAAAACTCCCCAAACCCCTCTGAGACCTCCTAGAAAGGAGGAGGAGATGGACTCTTACTTGATAAGAGTCTCAGAGTGCTACAGCACTGAAAAGAGAAGAGCTGAGAAGCTCAAGGCTTCCCTGAGCTGGTCCGGGACGGCCAGAAGAATGCAGAGGAGGGCTTCACCCCCCCGCTGCTCTGAGACAGGGCATGGGAGCTCTGCAAGGGGGCTTGAATCCCCTGAAGATAGGGACCGTCAACAAGGCTCCTATACTTCGTGATATGATGTGGTGAAGTGACCTTTGTCCCAGTAAACACAGCCCACGGAAGAGAAAGACCCTCGCCTGGAGTCAAAGGGCCGAGAGGGGCTTGGAGACCCCTACTCGTGTGTGCTGGCAGAGATCCAGCTACAGCTGCTGCATGGAAGAAGAGAGCCTGCTGCCCTAGAGACACTGCTGCTTTGAGAGTGGAAAGGATCTCTTCCTTCTTCCCTCCTGGACTTTTATTTGGAGGAAGAAGAGATTTGATCCATTGTAAATACTGTTTTATCATGGTAGAGATAGTTGAGATTGTGTATGTAATGTGTTATAATATTTATTTGTAAAGTCATTGTAATATAATCCCTTCCCCCCATTTTGAGTCTTGTGTGGTGTCTGGAAAACCCATCTCACACTGGGTTGAGATGAGGGAGGGGGGCTTGGACTTGAGAATTGGATTTTGGGGTGCTCAAACCACTACACTGGTGAGAGCTGAATCTCCACCCTGCCTCCTGGCTCTTCCTGCAGGACTGGAGGGATCCTGGCACAGGATACCACTGACCTCTTCTGCAGAAGCTGCCTTGTTTGCAAGGACAGCCTGAACGCTTGAGCAGGGACCTTGCCTCCTGCTTCCAGTTTGAAAGCCGTGAACAGTGTGGACTCTGTCACTCCTCACTGATGAAATAAAGTATTGAAACCAGAGCAACTTGAAAAGAAGGCACGGCTCAGGCACCTGTAGGCTCACGTTGTGGAATACATCAATTCAAATTCAATTTAAACATTTGAATTAGTATTTCCTTAGCCAAGTGCTTTACTCAGAGGCTGCTTATCAAACAGGATGGTGTGAATCTCCAAAAAGCAGAGCAGACTGTCACTACTGAAAACCCCAAATGAAGCAAGACTCTTCTCAGTAGCTTAGACTTGGCGCCTCACTCTCTGAGGCAGGGCTTCAGCTACACTGAGATAAAAGTCTTTCTCCTAGCTGGCTTGAGCAGTCTCCAGGTTGGTGTGTTACCTGATGCAGCTTCCACGTGAGATACCAAGCTTCAGTGCTCACAAAAGTCTAAAACAAGTCTCTGAATTCTGCATGGTTCCCTCTGGCCTTTTAGTGGGTCTGCTCCAAACACACAAAGGTTTTATCTGCACAGTGCTGGATATGAAAATTATTTCATCTGATAAATTTAAGAGAGTTCAGTTCTCTGGTGCATACACAGGTCATGGACCACACTACTTCAAAGCCTCTATCCCTCTTTTCTCATATGGTATCCACACCAAAACATGTCAAATTTTATTGCACTTTTAAAATTAATGCTTTCTGTCCAAACTTAGTTGGAAGTTTTTGATACAGCAATTTTTGCCATTTGAAAAGCATTAACCATCTATGCCTTTTCTTTCTTCTTGCTCTACTTAACATATGCAAACTGACATCTCACACTGTACAAACTGAGGAAATGAATCGTTCCTGGCATCCCTCAGTCACTTGTCTACAAACACATCCAGTACAAGCAGAGCTGAAATGAAGACTCTGGGAGGGATTCACCTGACTTAATAAGAATTTTTACAATGCAGGAGACCACATCTGAGCACATCACCTTGGGCCCTCCTTATCATCAGTGAAAAATTAACTAATGTAGGCAGTGGGATCACAGAGCAATTCTTCTCAACCTGAAGTATGCACCTATGTGCGGCTGGATAAACAGCACCCCAAAATCTACAGTGGGCACATAAACAAACAAACAATTAGCTCAGAAGCAGATATCTACATTTAAATGAAACAAGCCCCTTGGGCTGCCCTTGAAAACTTTTCAGCCCATTAAAACCCATGGCTTTTTAAACTTGGCTCTTTAAAACCCAAACACTGCGATCTGACATTTCTTCGTTCATTAATGACATCACTGTAATCCCTGGAGCTCACTCTGACTGGCATTACCTGGTAAGCATGGTCCGTGTGTACGAGGTAGAGGTTGGTAGGAGCTGAGCGGCTCAGAGGTGTCATCAATTTAGTCTCAGTTTTGGCACAGGAAGTTTCAGGACGGATTGCATCTTGGGTGGGAAAGGAAGGAGGAGATGCTAAAGATGGAGAGACTGGGGAAAGACTGCTTAAGCCATCAGCTACTGAGTCCGTGTTGAGCCTGATTTCTGTATAGTAAAAATCCTCCTCTCCATCACTGTAGTCAGACTCTCCTATACGTCTGTATCAAGACAAAGAATGAAGAATTGATTAAATGAAAGCAAAAATGCCAAGGTAAATTTTAAATTCTAGATGCATGAGCAAATATATTCATATTGTCAATAAATTAATATTCGAAGTTTCAACCCTACCTAATTTATCAGCATTCTGGCTGCAGGGAAGGGGCAGAGGAAAACAAAATCACCTAGTCTGAAGGAATTACTTTTTTTTTTTCTTTCAGTGTTACTCTTGAATAATTCTTTGATCTTGGAGTAGATGTTTGACTCCCTCATCTTAAGTATCACCTTCTCATTCCTACCTATTGTAAAGTTAATAAGAACCTCAACACACTCTGACTTTGGCAATGACCAAGCAGCCAAAGAATGACAGGTAAAGATAAGAGACACAGGCAAGATATACTTCATTAATGTTACAGCAAATAATATATAATCTTATAATAAGTTACTTAAATAGACCAAACACAGTTATGGCTGTCATTCACCATAACTTTCCTTAGCATAACACAAGAATTTGCTAGAAAACATCCTCACCACGCAACTCACTTAGATACAGGTAGAGCATGGATCCAGCAGGTTTGAAAGGCTCTACCAGAAGTACCATCCATCAGACTGTAACTAGTCACTCACCAAAACTCCTCTCTCCAGCAAAGTTACTAACTCCAAATTCCAGGAAAGTTCTGCTGTTTACTTCTCCCTCTCCCATGCCACAGAAAGGATGTCCCCATAATATAAAGGGCAAAGCTACATTCCTAACTGCATTTTGAGAGAGATTTTCTCTGTTTCTGATACACTTACTCTTAAGCCCAACAATAACTGCCATGACCTTCTCAAGACTATCCTGAGCTCCACATCAGATTACTTCCACGTGGTCACTTTAATTTTTAAGCGGTGGGTAACACAGACCTACACAACAAAGATGGATTTTCACATATATAACAGGAGAAGAACATGAGTCCCCACTGTAACTATACATAAGATAGCCAGGTCGCTCAGTGAACTGCACAGGAGACTTCAGTTGCAAACTAAAGCTCTGAAACAAACTTGTCTCCTAAAAGATTCATTTGCTTTTTCTTCTAGTCCAAGTAACCTACCCATGCATCCTGGTTTTGGCTGGAATAGTTAATTTTCTTCTGAGTAGCTGGTACAGTGCTGTCTTTTGGATTTTGGATGAGGATAATGTTGATGCTGAGCAGTGCTTACTTTTAAGTGAAGGACTTTTCAGTTTCCTGCGCTGTGACAGTGAGCAGGGGCACAAGAAGCCAGGAGGGAGCACAGCCAGGACAGCTGAGCTGAACTGACTGAAGAAATATTCCATACCATAGAATGTCACGTTCAGTATATAAACTGGGGGGGAGTTGGCTGGGAGCCACCAGTTGCTGTTCGCAGATGGGCTGGGCATTGCTCAGTGGGTGGTGAACAATTGTATTGAGCATTATTTACTTCTTTTCAGTTTTATTCCTCTCTCTCTCCTTTTCATTACAATTATTATTATCATAACCATAATTAGTATTATTATCTTTAATGTTATTAGTTTGTGTTTGTTTTTTTTTTTTAATCGTTAAACTGTTCCTATCTCAACCCAGGAGGTTATTTCTTTTCCTTCGATTCTCCTTCCCACCAGAGAAGGAAGAAGATAGTGAGTAAGCAGCTGCACGGTACTTAGTAGCCAGCTGGGGTCAAACCATTACAACATGGAATTGTGGCTCAGTTTCTTTTTTTTTTTTCAGGTTTCTTAGGTGCTTTGTGGTTTTGAGGGTTTTTTTCGCATTAATTTTTTTTTGGTTTTGCATTAATTCAACTCAGAACTGGCGCAAGCATCTGACCTGATGTGAAACAAAGCTGGAAAGTATTCATGCAAGACCCTGAAACATGTCTTCCCAGATGTGATGTGCAAACAGCACATACCACATAAATGCCACTGAGCTGTGAGGCTGATAGGGAAGTGCAGTGTGATCTAGAGCTGTATTTGACCTTTCAGGAAAGTTCACACAACTTCAGGAAAGAAAGTGCCTCACACTGTTGGAATAAGTGCTCATTCGCTTTGATTCACTACTCCACCAATTCCTCAGAAACCTAGGGATATGAGAAAGAAAAGCCACGGACAATCCAGTTCATCTCCCCAGCCAAGTGCAATTGCTCCCCTGCCAGACCAAATCCTTTAGACTTCTGAAGAGACTGCTTTCTTACCCAAGGTGAATGGTCCGTATGTGTTTCTGAATCCCTGCAGCTGTGCTCAGTACCTTCCCACAGTTTTTCCACAGGCATTTGAACATTACCTTCATGGAGTTCTGAAAATTATGAGTAAAGCATGGTTAGATGTATGGAAGTTGTATGGATATTAGGAAATATTTCTTCACTGAAAGGGGTTGGCAGCATCAGAACAGGCTGCCCAGGGAAATGGTTGAGTCACAAGCCCTGAAAGTATTTAAAGACGCGTAGATGCGTCGCCTGGGCACATGATTTAGTGCTGGACTTGGCAGTGCTGGGTTAACAGTTGGGCTCGATGATCTTAAAGGTCTCTTCCAACCTAAACAATTCTGTGATTCTATAATTCTACGAAGATAAAAGAAAACCCAACCACCTAAAACGGATAAACAGTTACCAAACACTGTGAAGGTTCTTCCAAATTTGTGATGATCTATTAGTCTCTATCAAGTGTGCCACCCTACTGAATTCAACAGAATCCCAGTGAAAAGCTGCAGGAGCAGCTTGTAACAAAACCTTACCTCTCTTCGTTCATTGGCAAAGCTTTTTCGTTTTAAGTTCCAGTTTGTATCCCCACTAAAGGAAGTAGATGATATAAAAACTTTCTACACTTCTTTCAAAAAAAGAAAACTGATGAGGACTTCTCTCTGAATGCAAAGCATCTTCTTAAATTCAGGTCTTTCTAAAGTAAGCTCTTATAAATGTTTCCGCTCATAGAATTTGCAAAATACAAAAAACATTGTGCCAGAAAACCATAGCTTTAGCTTCTGCTATGTCGTTATTCACCCATAAGTGGAAAAAAATGCTTTTATTGCATTCAGAAGCTGCTGTTACGCTTATTCGGACAAGGGAATGAGAAGCCATCATGCTGTGTTCAACATGTAAAAGAAAAAAAATGTGCATAATCTCATTTTAATATTCTTTTTATATTCTTTAATATAACTTTATTGATCTAAACTGAGTTATCACTGATTTAGAGCATAGCCAACAAGGTTATAAGCATCCCAGTCTTAGATGTTTTGAAGACTGGGGAAAACCAGTCTTAATGTAAAGCACAGTGTGTGGTAACAACACAGATGCTGCAGAACTCTGAAGATATTTAAAAGCTAATTTTACTCAAAAATGAAACCAATTTTGTACATTTTAAATTTTTAAAAAATCTAAATAGTTTATACTTCTCAAAAATAATTTTCTCTATTATTACAGAACACATTATTAACATGAAGAAGAGCTTCAAAATACAGTATTATTATTCTATAATTGTAGTTACATGTAAGATTAGGTGAATGTCTTGAACCAAAGTTGATTTGGTGCTTTCTTCAATTTGGACCCTTTGCAACTGCATGCCAGTAGACAGTTCCAGCATTTGCTAGAAAGATGATGATTAGAATATAACTTACAAAAAAATAATCTCAGCTGATGGACTTTCTAAAATATAAGTTGATTGCAGTAACGTTCTTATAGTAACTTGTCAGTCTAACATCTGTTTGAAAGTATGGTTGCTAAGGGATTTGGGACTTGAGGTACCTGATCACATGGTTTATATGAAAAACTTCTACTTTGGCATAAAATTGCAAAATTCCATCTCTAGTCTTTTATTTGATATTACAACTATCATTCAAATAGATACAGAATTCTTATTTCCCCCTCCAATTAAATACAATCTGTCTAGCAATTCTAACCGACACTTTTCTTACTTTTATAATATAATACTGAATACTATTATCAGCTCAAAATCACACAACCAACCACCAACTATGGCAACAAGATGAAGGCCATGCTTATCATTTAGGTTTTAGGAATTCCAGTGTGACATCACGAACACCCTGTGCATCTTTATGAACACAGAATGGTTTAACATTCATCCCCAGTTTGAGGGTAAAACCATTTTCTTAGCTTCACTGTGGTTTTGATGCCGTAAGATCCTTAACTGTCAGTGCTAGGAGTTTGCAAAAACCAGTGTATTTTAACATAGTCAAGTGAGAGCTCACTGAGTAGAAACAAAGAACAAAACCCATGCTTCCATTTCTGACTAGTTCAAAAATTGCCTATTTAGGTTTAATGTTTTATTTAAGAAAATAACGGAACACAAATGGTTTGGTGAGGAATAACTACATTAGTGGAAACTTTTAAGCAAACAACTTTCTTAAGGGGAAGAAACTTTAATGAGTAAAAAGTAAGATTACCAATCACTCTATTTACAGGCTTATTCCTTTTGACTTTTGCAGCCCTGAAGAAGAAAAAACCTGAATATTTTTATTTCAGCTTCTAAAGGTGCAGAGTTGTACTTAGATCAAGTATTCTGCTGTGGCCAGAATAAAAAAACCTGCAGGAAAGTAAGTTAATTTATAAAACCAAGTTTGGCATGGAATGTTATTGTTTATCTACATAAAACATTTGCCATACAAAGCAAAATCCCTGTGAACCAGAACAGATCGTGTAATAGACCTATGGTGGGTACATAAATAGAAATATTTGAAAGCAACTTAGAAAACAATAAAGATGGCAGCTGCAAACCCATCTGTCTCATCACAGCTGAGCAGTGAGAATGATGCGACTAAGATGAACATTAACTGAGAAGCAGAAGGCAAACCAGCACACTTCTGCACCCCTACTCTCCTGTCCCACACGCCCCCAAATCACCTCTGTCTTTAGTTTAACAGTCAGCTATAACTTCTAATTTATCATAACAGAGGTGTCCTCCAAAATACTTTTCCTTCTTAGCAAGACATACAAACATTTTAAAATCCTCTCCCACGATCAAGGAAGAACAGCGTGGGTCAGCAAATAAGCAACTTCTGGAGCAAAAGGATAAATCTGAACAGGTTTAAACATTCATTAAAACTTCTTCCTGCTGGTGATGAAGCAATTAACTGTCTCAGACTGAGTCAGAAACAAATTCACTAAGGGGAATAAATTCTCTGTTTTTTCTCCTTACAAAAAGCCCTTTTTCATCTTGGTATGTAAAAATCTGTCCTGTTGTGTTGGGAGGGATGGAAACTTGGACTAGTGCCATCTCTTTGTTTTCTTTTTCTTCCAGAGGAGCTTGCTTGCTAGCATAAGAGTGCTTTTTGGGGTTAGTTTTAGACCTTTTTTTTTTATTTTACATCGCGTTTTATTTAGTCTGCTTTTGCACTCTGAGGATAAATTTGGCCAATGCTAATACTGTATCAAAAGCAACCAAGTTGAGCTCTCTCTCTCCTTCTTTCACTCCATATGTTTGTGCAGAGAAAGCTTCACAGTATTAAGGTATCTGACATGCTGTCAGACAAACAGCACTTCCAGGGAACAAGGAGTATTAAGGCCATATCCAGTTTTTGCGATGACATATAAGGCTGCCTGTTGCATCCTGCACACAGAGGATTTGTCAAAGTAGGACAGAAATCCCATGAATGGCCAGAGGCAACACCTTCTGGAAATTACTCTAGTGTTTCCTGAGCAGGAGGCTCTGTAGAACCTCACCATCTGCCAGGAAATATGTGGTGCTGATGGCAGCATGTGTGTGCAGGAGGTGACCAGGATGAACGAGACACAGTGACTAGGCTAAGTACCTATGTTAACTGGATGTCAAGGAAGAATACACATACAGAGCTACTGGGTGATTTCTCACAACAAAATAAGCCTATCAACATCCTATCTGCCCACGGACATGGAATTTAACATAAGGCTAACCTTTCTCTTCCTAGGAATGGGTTCATCGAAGAGAAGGTTGCTTGTTTCACCTTCATCAATACCATCATCTGGCTGGGAAGGTGTCCGAAAAGTTTTGAAGCTATCAGCTGACAGAGGTGGAGATGGGGTGGATGGGTTGGACTGGTCACTGGGAGCATTCCAGCTCCAGTATCCACTGCTGCTGGTACTAGAAGGCACAAATCCTCCTTCTTTCCAAGATCCATTCAGGGATTCTGTCAAGAAACAACAACAACCGTCATTACAAGAGTATCATTGTTTTAGGGCTAAGGAGCTCTTTTTTCTAAGGCTTAGATGCCATGTTGGTAATTAACTGTACGTTCAATAAAGGAAAGCGAAAGCATTGAATGTAGAGAAGACAACCATATCTATCCCACTGCACACAAATTACATATTCCACATTTGATTTTTCCTTTTTATTAAAAAAACCCTCAAAGTAAAAGGAAATGCTGGGTTTGGAAAAATAACCTGTTCTGGAGCATAAACAGCAATAAACAGTCAGATATTGCATGCATGATTAAAGGAGAACATTTAAATTGATCTTTAGAGGTCCCTGCAAACCCAAACTATTCTATGATTCTAAATACATCCTCAACTTTTAACCAGAACACGTGACTGTAATGGTCATGAGAGCAAGCTCCACATGGCCAACAGGAAAGGGGACATACACTCTGAGCCCCAGAACACTAAGCAGATCTGCAAAAACATGAGCTTCATCCCAGTATTAAAACATGAAAGAAAACCATAATTACACTCTATCGTCTCATCATCTCTCAGTACACACGCCTCTGCCTATGTGAGGTGGTACGTACCCCTTGGGATACCCCATTTTCTTTATACAGGTGTATTGATAGGCATTTGGTTTCAGAAGTGGAACATACAGACACCGGATCACCTCCACACCTACTCACTGGAGGAAGTGCCTCCTCACGGCAGCAGTTCCCCTAACATGATGAGGTAGGAAGACACTCTAATGAACAGGTTACACTCTACAGCACTGTGGGTGGGAGTAACAGCACTGCTTGCGCAGTCGGAGGCACATCTTGAGCCATGCTTCACGTGCTGAGGTCCTCAGGCATTAGACATTGGCATGCCACTCTTCCCAGCTCTTAAAGGGCTTTTGGCAGGAGAGGAGTATGTAGGTTATCAGCTCAGCAAAGGCATGGCCTGAGCACATCCAGTGGTGCAGCCACAGGCAGCTCTGCCAGAAGCCCCAGGTTCTTACAGGGCTTAGGCACATGTGCAGGGATGGTTTAGGTGCGGCTTCTCGCTAACTCAGGCATTGGAAGCTGTTCCCAATGACACTGTAGTGCCTGAGCATTGTGCAATACCTGACTTAGGAGCTGGTAAGCAAATAACTTCTTATCTGTTCATGAAACAATAGTTAAGTGTGAGACTAGTCTTTTCAAGCCAGTGCCTGCCTTTAAGAGTTCTGCAGAAGTCACTCCTTCACTCCTTCTCAATGTCTTACAGGTAAGTTAACTAATGATATCAGCAAGAAAGTGAGCTATCAAAAGCTTACCCCAAAATCAACGAATTTTCAGTTTTTTCCTCCTAATTCAGTTGGTTTTGGATGAAATCCTAAACCATTAACATCAGCTGCTTACAAAACAGAATGCAGTGCCCCCTTGAGTAGGCAGCAGCCAAGTCCCTGAGTTACTGATTTACTGAGCAGGGCCACTCAGCATAAACTGGATCAACCCTCCCTCTCTACTCCTCCAATTCCTCTTTGGAAAAGGACATATAGATTTCTGGTAGCTAATAAGTTAACATATAAAAATGTCATGTTTGGGCTCATGATTACAGCCTTCATGTGACTGTAATAAGGTGGGTTTTGTTTCTTATAAGTATTTGTACTTCAGCCTTGTGCCAAAGCCAAGAAATACATCTGGTATCAACTTGTGACCTTAGCATAGCTTAAAATTTCCATTTCTTAAGAAAAACAAAGGAAGCAGCACTCTTTCAACTACTACTTTCTGATATATTTATGGTGGTACTTTGTATTCTCAGGGTTTACAGCCTCTCCTCACCTTGCTGAGAAAGAGATGCAAATCAAGAACATTTTTGAAATAGTATGGAAAAGGCTGAATGAGGTTGACAATAGCAAAAACCCCTAAACACTGGTTCTCATTAATACTAACAAATCTGTCAATTTGAAGAAGATTAAAATAAAAATAAATGCAACTTACTCTTATTTTGGGGCTCTTTTCACATTGCTGGAGTTGCGTGAAAGAGAACCAGACCAAATATTACTCAGCTGCAGGGAAACAAGGGCCAAACTCTGATCCAGTTTACATGGGTGATCATCCCCAATAATTCCAGCACAGATCTGCCTTTAATATTAATGCTAATGTTATTTTTTTAATGCTAGGAAAAATTCCATTTGTTTAAACAAATGTTTCTTTAATTACACTGCTCCTAACTGGTCTTTTTTTGGAAAAGCATGTAGAAAGAACTAATCATTAGTACATTTGCTGCTCATATTAGCAGGATCAGAGCCTAGCCTTGCAACACCAAGTGAGCTTTATATTATCAAGTGTTTGCACTTTTATTTAAGTCCTTAGTATGTCTTAGTCAGGCAAAACTAAGATATTCAGGGAAAAGGTGCCCAACTACAGCTTCAAAATCTTGTCTGTGACTACTGAAAACATGTGAATTACTTTTCCAGGGTAGTCTTCCCAGATTCTGGGAAACAAGTAGACAAGCTGTGTGAAGAAATATCAAAGAGCACTGAGAATACACCAAGAAATATCAAAGGTAGCTAACAGCCACCATTTACCTATTAGCAATTCAAAAGGCTTGTTGGGAGGCTGATGTGCACTGCCGATCCTGACAAGTGTCAGCTGCTCAGACTGTCAGAGGCGGCAAGTACTGCCTTACCCACAGCAGAGTAGCAACCCGGGACCAGGGATGCAGTGGGGGACAAATCCCTGCCTGGCACATCAGCACAGATCCATCTTCCGCTGTGATTTTGTCTGTGAGCTGAGCAGCTGGAGAGCAGGTGTGTTTTTATCCTTCTGTTGGCCTCCCCTAGGGGCTGGCAACCTGCTGCCCTGAGGCAGGACAGTCACTGGGCATGTCACTGATGGAGGTTTCCCAGGGCTCCTCAGAGCAGTGGTACTCCATAAACAGTTCTGGTTTTCAACACTGGAAAGCACACAAACAAGAGCCACGGGTGTTCATGGCTAGAATTCCAGCTAAATGGATAAAACTTACATTTTCTGGAAATAAATGGAACAACCACAGTGTTTGTTCAAAAATGTTTAAAGATGTGACATTTGGTATGAATTCCTTTTAAGAACATCATTCAGTGGATTGCCTGAAGAAATACAAAGACTACATCCCTCTTAATTTGCATCTGTAAGTATTCCTCAGTCTTCCAGTTATTTACAGAAGGGCATCTAGTGCCTATTTAGCAGGGTAAGTGAAAAGAAGAAGCAGTGTCATACAAACAATGCTGAGATACCTTAACAAGGGTGTCCTAATTTAAATTATTCCTTAAAATAGAACACTTAAAAATTTATTGTAACTCCAGTCAAGCTTGCATAGATTAATTATATTTAATTATCAATCTCTTTATTACCAAGAACTTTTATATTTATTTTTATTTGTGTGTCTTCTGCTATACTATAAATGAAGTAGCCTTTAAAGGGGTTACGGATCTGACGGAAGACATCAGAGAGTCACAAAGAGCACAGGAATTGAGGGTCTAATCGTGCATCTGCAGTAGCAGATCTGTTGCTGTACAGATTGCTAGTGCTTGGCCTTTCAGCCAAGTGCTTTGCCTCATTGTGATTTTGGGTAAAATATTATCTGATTTCCATGGAGTGGAGGACAAGAACAACTGCTATCACACTTACTGGATATGGCACTTGAGGACATGGTTCAGTGGTGAACATGGTGGTGGTTGATAGTTCGACTTGGTGATCTCAGAGGTCTTTCCCAACATTAACCATTCTACAATTCTAGGATTCTATATGTGCAAATGCAAACAAGATCTTCAGAAAATTAATGTTTCAGTGAGGTCAGGATATCTTACACAGTGCTCATATCCCATTTATGGAATGGGACATCTCCCATTTCATAATCTGGAGCTGCTATAGTTACAGAAAAGATTTCATTTCCAACAATGCTGCACCAGAGACTTTGACTAGGTTTGAGCAAAGCTCAGTATGAACTCCAGCATACCAGAAAACAGCCTTTGTTCTCCACCATGGCCACAAGTCCTGGATGCAAATCCCCAAATAAATGGTCCTGGCACCCCTCCCTGCAGCCCCTGGCTCCGAAGGCTTACCATTGGGTCGGACAGGAGGGCTGCGGACCAAAGGGCTGGTGGATAAACTGGTGAGTACCATGGCTGCTGTTACTTTATCCATGTCCAGTTCTTCTGAAGACTTTCTGAAACACAGTGAGTGGGAGGCAGGAAACACATCAGCAAATATTTAACTTTTTTTAGGTTTTTTTTTTAGTTTTTTTTAATACCAGCCCAAACCCTAAGCCAGCACAGCACAGTAACAAAAACAAGCTGCTGCACAGAGTTCTCAAAGCTTCAGTCTTCTGGCAACCTGAGAATATCAAGTGGCTACTACAAGCAAACTAGCTCAGTGTAAATAGGAAAGGAAGCAGGAAAAGAGAATACATATTTGTATAAATTCTTGGGATTATTGTGACCCTCTGTAACTTTAACTTTGTTCTTTATTTTTCAGAATTTCAGCTATTCGTATTCTTAGAGCTAAGTGTATACTTAAGGTAGTTTTCTTTTTCTTGGATGAAGACACAGAGATGCAAAGCTGGATAAGTTAGTAGCAACATTAATAACATATACTACTCTCTGTAGGGTGAGGAAGAACTATGAACTGGAACTCAGGGATGTGAGTTTGTTGCTTCTGCTTAATGCTATTAACCTCTCCCTACTTTCTCCAAAAGACTGATCCTAAATTTTTCCCAGTCAGACCATAAACCAATTATTTCAAATAATTAGGAAACTGGCATAAAAACCAGGCAGGCGGGGCAAGGGTGGGGAGAGAGAGAGAGGGAAGATTTCTTTTGTGGGTGTGATGGGCACCTGAGCCATCAGGATGGCACAGCGGGAAGAGAGTGGCCCATCACTCTCTTAGCTGGGAACCTGTATAAGTCAGAGCAGAGGACATGGGGAATGGGTAATAAGGAGGGCAGCCAGCTTTCCAGGGAAGGGAGGAGAAGATGTGGACAGCAGATAATGCCACCAGGGACCAGGCTTCAGTGACCCATTGCTCAAGGAGTCATGTTTTTTTTAAGACAGTGAAGGATTTTGCCTGTAAAATTATATATTTCTTCCCCCCCAAGAGTAACTCTCTTCCTTACAATGCAAAATTTCTGAAGAGTGAACGTACCAAAATAAAACTACTAAGCCCATTAGGTTTGGCAGACTTTTGCTTTCCATCCTTGTGGGATTTCCACCTTGCGGGTAGAATCAAAGCAGACAGCTTCTTGTAACCATTTGCTTTCGAACACATGACTGATTGTCCAAAACCATCTTTTCATTTTGTATAGGTCAAGTTAATTTTGTTCTTACAAAAGGACACTTTCCCCCCTCTATGCTGCAATGTGGGGTTTCTCAAATTGCATCTGTGCCTTGCCAGGAGCTCTATTTAACCAGTCAGGTTGAGTCCAATTTAAAGCCCAATATGAGAAGTGGCCAGCTATCTGATGTCTCCCACCAACTGCTGATTGGTAAGTCACCAAGAGGAACAGGACATGCCGGGCGCACTCCATTTGCTAGAATCCTATCTCACCCACCAGGTAGAAGGCTTATTAACTGGAAACTACGCTGCAGTCAAAGCCTCTTGATATTTTAGTGAGCAAACCTCGAATTCTCCATGAAACAGTTCACAGCTGCTTTCTGGCTGATGCAAGGACCCACACAGATGCTGATGAACACTTTCCCACGCCACACAACAGCTTAGCTCTCCTGTCTTTTGCAACACATCAGTGTCTGGAACCAAAACGCTGATGATGGTTCCTGCTGCATTATCATTTATATCCGTAGAAAGCTTCCCTCAGCCAAGGCTTTTGCAAAGAGCACAGCAGCCATATGGTCATCATCAAGTACTGGAAAGGTCTCGGATATCTGCTATAATCAACTGAGACCTGAATATGTCACCCATCAGGTCCTCATGCCTGCAGAGAAATATTTCACTCAGAATGCCAAATTCCTCTGGGCTCAGAAGACCCTTCCTCAGGGATGACATTGAGAATGCTACACTTTCTGAAAACCAGCCCTACCACATGATTTTCCAATTACCTAATATCCCAGTATGAAAATCCACTTTCTGAGAAAGATTCAGTGTCTCTGTAGTCCATTCCTGCCAAACTACAACAACTGTCCCTACACCTTTATCCAGCTGTGGATGAACTGCTAATATCTGCACTTCTGCAACACAGGAGGAAAAAATGAGCACAAGTTCCTGATATGTTGCAGAAGCTGATCCCCAGTGTCAGCCTTCCAACTAGGCTCTTCTGTGTGTGCGGCAACACGACTAACCTGCTCTTCATCAAGGCCTCTGCAGAACTGCAAAATCACACCACAGCAGATGATGCAAGTGTTTCCCTAGTTGATGTCAAGATGTCAGAGTCTAGACCCGGACCTAATCCCAAAGTTCCCCCAAGCAGTCTATAAATTTAACTTCTTCTAGCTCTTTTGTACTGATTTTTTTTCTCCCCTCTACAATGATAAGCACTGCTGCTCTGAAAAACTAACCCTTGCTCCAAATAATTTTGCTATGTCCCAAAATTGTCAGCATTGGCATCTGTGCCTAAGGTGAAAGTTTTCACAGACAGACAAAGGACAGGAACAGTCATGAGAATTCTTGCCATTTCTAGCCACGCTAAACCACACTCTTGCAGTTACTGGAATGCTTTTTTCTACCTGGTCCAATTTAACAGGCTAACAGCCCAAATAAAACAAACTTTGGACTTTTTCTCTGTCCATTTTGAATCATGGTCATTTTTACTACTTCTAGCTCCTCAGCTACATCCAGCACACAAGGAATGCTGCTCTCATGCTTCTCAGCCACAAGATTTTAGCAGCTACAAGTTCTGGCTTATGTGACTCTGCTCCTAAACACATTTTTACAGTTTGGCTCATAAATGTAAACACACATATTTCATATATCACTCAGCCAGTACTGTTGCAGCAGCAGCAGCCTTCAAGAGATAGGCAAAGCGTAAAACTGAAGACAGGAACCACTTAAGCCATCTGCATTTAGTCAGCATTACATGTGAGTTGATGCCTTAAGACTGCCCCAGTATTTTCCAGCTTTCTCTGCTGGAAAGCTGAACCTGCATACAGCTGTTAAACAGTGTTTGCACTGAGAGAGGAGAATAACTCGTTTGTTACACACAGATTGTTCACAAACCATTTATCACACCATTGGTGAGGCAATTTTCTGTGGACTGAAGTTATAACCCCTGATGTTGCTTATATTGTTATTAGGTGTAATTAAATTTAAATAAGTTGCAAGATCTTCTACTACATTAGCTATGAAGATTTTCTCTTTCCTCCAATCCCACATCTGAGTCTCCAAAAAGCCATCTCCCAACATCTTGATGGATGTGCTTGTGTCAACCCAGTCTGCATTTGAGATCAAACAGTTCTGGATCCTTTATTTTCGACTCTTTGTAAATCCAAATACCTGCCAATAGCTGAATTACAATCAATCACCTGATATATAAGCAGCAGAAGTTCCAGGACCTTGGGGACAGACCTTTTACCACCACACCACGTCTCAGCTTCATGTCTCCCTGCTTCCTCAGTAGGCAGAATGATTTCACTTGATCCCTGCAATACCCTGATCTATCCAGCCTGGCCTTTCAAAGAGTCCTTTTCTTTAACAGCCAAGCCCAAATTAAACTTAGTTACTACACTTACTCTTGCTCAATCCTTTCCTTGGTTTTGCTGATGAATTTACTACTTTTTTGATAATTTATCAATGTTAAGAAACCATCACACTCCTCAGTCAAAGCTTTCTACAAGGAAAGACTGGGTTTAAGCTCTAAAAGATGAGAAAAAGAGAGTCCAAGACAAGCCCAAGGCTCTGCAAGTGCCTCAAGCCAACACAATATCCAATCTCCTAATGTCCCATTTCCTCTGCTGATCCTGGCCACTGTGACTTCCACGCTCCCTAGTAAGTGTTATTCCCATCTGGACACACCTACATCACACTTCCATATTTTCTTCTCTATCAACCACATCATCATCTGTGTTGGGAACCTTTTTTTAAACCCGCTCTCAAAAAAATCTTTAAAAATACACATTTTATTATAGTTTTTTAAGTCTTTAGTCTATAATTTATTAATTGTCTGCCTTAGATCAAACAGCCTGCAGTTTTTCCTCTTAGAAAAACTGCATCTTAAGTCAATACTTTTCTCAAGCATATTTTAAAGGTCCTGGAGAATATTCTTAGAGCAGAGAAACTGGTAGGGGTAGCAGGTGTTTTTTGATAAAATTGACCTTACTCAAAATGACATTTAAGTTCATTTGAAGCAAAGAAAAAAAAAAACAAATTCATTTTCCCTGTCCACAACTCCAAAGCTTTCAGTTAATTCCCCGACCAGAAACTTCTGACTCCAGTGCAGCAAAGCTCAAAGCAACCAGGCACAGGTTCACTGTATGGAAAGTGCTTTCCTACACTCTGGAGCTGCCCCAACAGGGCGGGAATGCAGACCAGGCAGCGTTTCTTCACCAGGGCTCTGCTCCCACCAAGACAAGGAGAGGGACAGCAGCATCCTGCAGCTGGCAGGACCAGGCTGCATGGGGACAGAAACTGCAGCACCAGGACATGAGTGCAAGGAGAGGGGAAAGGGAAACACATTTCCAATTACTTCAAGTGGATGTTGACTACAAAAGTCGATGGTCAGATTCAACCTTCTTCTCCAGAATCACATATCCCTGCTTTCCAGCACTGTTGAGCTTGCCTTTCCTTAACCTACTCTCTAAACAATAACCACCTGAAGCTCACATGCTCTAAACATTCAGATTTATTAAAAGGCTTATATTTTCCTTTGTCCTGGCAGAGGCATGTGCTACCTATTTCTTACTGCTATCCTCACCAGAGGGATATGGTAAAAAAAAAAATAAAAAATTGACTAGGATTGATAAGGACAGAGGCAGCCAAGCACAAAAATGCTATTATGCTATGTTAGCTGGTTACTGTCCTCCACTCAAAACCAGCTTATGACAGTGGTTCACAAAACACTTGGACCTTTTGTTAAGGAAGTACCCTATAAATATGTGTGCGTTAATATGCTACAACTAGGACAAAATAACAGTATATTTAAATATCTATTTATATCTCCCTCCCATACTTATATGTGCTAAAGTCTCATAGAGACCTCTGAAGTCTGACTCTGATCACTTG